CTTTCTCGAATACAGCACGTAGTGACAAAAGGTAGAAGTCCCAAAACAAATGAGATTGACTAAGAGAGAAACCAAAGCTGTGGCCGTATTGCTTATGGATGAAGGGCACTGAGACACACGGTAGATAAAGCACAGTAGGATGATACTGCCACATAAATGGAATCTCGGGTCGACAGAACCGTTGGTGTGCACGAGTGTGCTTCGGGGTTTTGAAAAGCGACAGCTGGTGTCCATGTCGACAAAATAAGTTGTCACAGAGAAATTTATGGAATGAGTTAATTTATGGCAACATATAGGTACAACAATGCGAAGAGTAGACGGGATAGAAAGCCTTCAAACCGGTGGCAGGGCCCGAGTAAAGAAGGCCTTTTGTCAGGAAAATGGTGATCAGCATCGTATTGACCCAAACGGTACCTCTGGGATTCTAGAGGATTCGATACCAGGTATTCTCGAGGCTATTTTAACCCCCTCGATCCCAGTAGATAGGAGACAGGAATCAACACTCTTTTGATCTCATCATTTTTGGGTAGTTCCCCTTTTTGATTCCGTTGCGCCAATCGCCTAGTACATCCATTGTATTTCCCTAGCTATACAGGATATTCCTGTTATTTTCTCAGTTGGAAGCGTTTTTGGTTGCTGCTTTTAGACATTGGAGTGTAATTTGGTCATTCAAAGAATTCCGGGAAAATTCCGTGGGATTTTATAAAACAATGAGAAAGAAATAAAACTTGCACTAGATACCAAGTTAATGTAGGATCAATGGGTAGGGGTGGCCCACTTTCGGAGTGGAGATTTTCATTGGATAAGATACATCTTGTGATGATTTCAGCGTTGAGAATCAGTTGAAAGTCCCGTAAAGCTTTCACTCCCCGAGCCCTCATATATAGTGCTGGTTGCGTGAACATTTCTGCCCTTCGATATGGGCTGTGAAAGCCGGAATGGCTTGATAGAGGGTCAAAAAAAAAATGATGCATTGAGCAGAGAGTCAGGCTTGATCGCATATTCCACGGGGATTTCATTTCGTCTAGAAAACATATAAAAGGGCTCAAGTCAAGCCACCTGAATGTCCCGTTCGGCACGGGATCATCCTGATAGAAATGGCCCCAACAACTCGCCTGTCTCTCTGTCCAAGGCCAGCGACCTATCGCGACATGGTGCAACTACAGTGTGACTCCAAGCGTCCACTCACAAAGATGACCACTCGCCATGGTACCTATGCCGGTCGCAAAGTTTGCACGGACAGAGCAGGACCACAGAGCAGGACTGCAGAACCGGTTCACCAGATGAGGCACGAGTACAGCGGTTGCAAGCTACATGGAGCAAGCATGGCAGTCAGCTAAACTGACAGGGTGGTCATCTGTAACCCTGTAAATGAGCGAGTAATTATCTTCGCCAGCGGCAATAGGGATAAAACATGGTTCTTGAACAAAATGTGCGAATATTAAGCCTAGGTATGTGGAGCATACATAAAGCATAACAATGTAGTTCTTACCAGTTTTGCTATCCAAATATTTTGTTATTGTCCAATTCTTCCCTTGTCATTGTGACCTTCTTGTCTCGTTGGGATGTTCAATGCGCATATTGAGAGCCTGTTGTATTTTCGGGCAACACTTTATCTTGTCAGGTGTTGCTCATTAAGGATCCAGACATTATGGGTACACACGTAGCTTTCTATCGTCCTTGAAGACTCTCCGAATACAGAAAATCCATGATAGGGTTTCTTTGTCTTCTTTGGTAATTTCGATTTTTCTCCAGGAAGTGCAAAAATCCCTAAAGCGAACATGACCGTGTTCTCCGTAGAATATGTAAAAGAGAACTCCTTTTATCTCTTTGAGATATTAGTGAGTGTAAGCATCAGCTTCCACGCGCACATACCAGGGCCATGCAACTTGCCAGCACTCGCGTATCTGACGCTTTCCGGCCACCAGCTTGGTCTCTCCACATATGCTGACCCTTTAGCGTTTCTCATGATAGCTACCCACTTATAAAGAAGGTCTCGACACGCGTACAAATACTGCGACCCTCAATTTATGCGTAAAATACCTTCAATTATAATATCTTGTTGTCACTTGCCCTAAGGCTGTTGAAGCCAGCTTGATAAAGTTCTTTCAGTGTTCGAGGGGGTGAGAGTGTTGTTCGCGAGCGCACTCGGCGAAAGAGCGTCAGCATTGCCTGCTCTGCTATAACGATATCCTTCCCCTTACCGTTGCTGACTAGCTCTGAAGATATATTATCACTATTGCTTTTGAGAGATCCTGGCCTACATACCATTCTCCTTGTTTTTGATTTCCATATGCTCCGCAGCATTTGCATCAGAAATTGCGAGGCCGTCGGTATGATTTACCACAGCCAAAGTAGTACGCAAGATTGGATTGAACTTCGAAAGGATATCTGGAATTAATTGCGAGAATTTGACTCGATGTGTAACCGGCTTTTCACCAATTCAGTTATTGCGCCTGTTATCGAAAATGCTCTTCGCCATGTTAATAAAACGGAAAAAATCCATAGAATGCAGACTCACACACAGTTAATGCTGGTACCATTATTAGTTGGGAGTATCTCTGGCAACGGATTGAAAACATACTTGTTCTGGAAAATTATCCTTAGCCACCCAACGGTCGGGTTTTCACTTAAGCACGTGGCCACACATGACTGTTCCAGCAATTCATGAATCACTCCGGATTTCCGATAAAGTTTTTGCTTTGTCAGTTCCACAAGGGCACTGAATTCGGGATACCATCTGTTTATAAGCATGGTTTCACTCAGGGTAATCAAGATAATCAAGTCACCTACTTCCACATTCCCTCAACGAAGCTGAATCCTTGCCACTTCATATAAAAAGGAAACCCTTTCAAGTCTGCCCGAGGCCCATCATAGGCGGCCGGGCTTGCATCCATAATCCGACAGAACATATTGTCATTAATATGAGACTTGTCCACGGGGCAGGGGGATCCCTCGTTCGTCGTGTTGGGGGTGCTAGAGGGTTGTTCGTGCGTTTGCTTAGTCGCTTCGATGGTGGTGGGGTCTTGCGGTTCTGGTAGTTTGGTGTAATCTGTAGATAGTGTTCTGGCGCTTCTGTGTTCTCCACGATCAGAGACCGAGAGTGGAGCTGACGACTGGTATTCCGATGTCGAGGTAACAGGAACATCTTCATTCTGGGGTCTTCAAGCAGGAATAGGTTAGTGGGCTACTGAGGATGGCTGTAGTGTGTGATATTCCCCCAGTCTCTAATCCTGACCTGTCTCTTGGGTATAAGACATGCGGGCACTCGTTGTATGCCTGCGAATCTTCACGGCATTGTCTTTTATTGATCTCATTGGCAGTCGTAGGGCTTGGCTCAGGCCTGACAAAGCTCGCTGCAATAGTTTCACTGTTATCGGATTCGAGGGATAGGCATGACTGGGCATGCTGGTTTTGCAAATTGTTGCTAAAGCTGAGACTGCGACCCCCCTTTGATTGGTCCATGGGATCGAGTGCCTGCAATTTGTACCTGCTCGAGAGCATCGCAGGCAAGGGTATTCTCCAGATATTCTAGAACTGCAGGAACTAAAAGCCCTCACAGCATTCCCTGTGGTGGTCAACACGGGCCCAGAGCATCTTGGTCAGTAGTTTCATACCAGTCTTTGTCGCCTTGTTGCATGGTGTGCGTTTCCGTCGAGCTTTCAGCTTGGAACCCTGTAGGGTCACATCTTGTATATCACCGGTCGATTCGTTTCCGTAGTAGGGAGTAGATAATCGCACCTGGGGATCGTAGTCTTGGTAATGCATGCTGGTGGGAAAGAAGCGTTGATTATTCTGTGGTCACCGAAGTCCCGTAAGTCTAAGGGTGGATATGCTGAAGGCTTTGACTCGATAAAGATGGGAATTGTCCAATTCTCTAGGCTATTTGTGGAGGATCAGCATTGCATCGGTAATCTGAACGGAAGGCTCATCGTACGCTGCTGGCCCTGACCAGCCAGGTTTACTATATCGGGGAATTCGTAGCTTTTTAGAGGGACATCGGTGAAGTTGACTGATGGTTGAGGGTATATCTGAGGTCTGGAAAATTGCGCGCTAGACACGGACTGAGAGCCAGCGTTTTCTGAGGTGGTTTAGTAAGGATGGTGAGGTGTAGGCATGGCGGAAGTTGATGGGAAAAGAACGACGGGATGGTGGCTGCTTTTAATACGAGTGAGAGAGCAGCGGCAGGAAATCCACTAGCCGTGAACTAAGCAATGGCTGCATGGTTAAGATAAGACTGCTGGTGGTTTGGCGCACAAGCAGTGCTCCCGCGACGATTCGGTGCCACAGAAGCAATCGTCATTTGAAGGGGCCTGTAGACCTGCCTTCTTTGGCTCGCTCTGCTTCACTTTCCAAAATATTGCTTTCCCCTGGCGTGAATCAAGGTTTGGTTAGAATTGAAAACTTCGTTTATTGCCGGTGGTCTTTTGCTACGGTATTTCCATTGAAATCGGACATGTAGGAGAGGTGTAGGAAGAAAAATAGAAAGGTGGGTTGGTTGCCGGGTCAAATTGTAGTGGGGCAGTGGGAAGATATTTTTGACTAGTATCTGTAACAGAAAGCCAACTCTTAAATATATCTTTCCCTATCCACTTACTCCCCTAGGATATACTAACATATTAGGAGCCCTATTTTAAATATTATACTTCAATACTTCCTCTAAAAGAGATTTGGTTGTTATACCCGGCCAGACAGTAAATATCCGACTGACTCTGAGTAACCACCACCCACCGTTCCACAAATAATTGAACAATTTGATTGCGCTGTAAGATAAAACTACAGCTCAGTCCCGCCGAGCAAATTGACGCGAAAGGAAAGCCTATGCCACCATAATACATAGAATCTTAGGATGCATAGGCGATTGTTTCTCCTGAGTGACAGTCGTGGACAATTAAGCGCTGGGGTAATTCAGAGAGTACTAGCTACCGTAGCGTACTAAGCCTTGAGTTCTAGATGCTAGTGACATCGGGTGAATAACCCTGGTATATTTCTTCTTACGATTAATAAGATCTCGGGTGAACACTCAGAGCTCCTCCATCGACGACAGAGACACTGCCATTGCAGTAGCCTCCCGCCTTGCTCGCCAAGTATAAGATCGTCCTTGCCATTTCCTTTTCCACCCCAAATCTTTCAGCCGGCGATATTGATTTAGGCACAACACCTGCAGTCGGTTCGTGTTCTTCTATTAGGCGTGCCGTGATGCGTGACGGAAACCCTGAATAGTGCATTAGCAATGTCGAGAAAGAAGGTGAGACGGGAAGGTATTAGGGAGAAGGAATACGTACAGCCTGGGTCAATGAGATTAGAGCGGATGTTCCATGGCACGAGAGCAGTAGCTAAATGCATCATCATGTGCGTGGTAGCTGCCTTGCTCGAATTGTATATGAAGTCTGTGTATCCGCGAAAGAATGCTGCCGCATTGCTTACTGTCACAACCTGGCTTTTTGGTTGATTTGTATGCGCTTTATTTCCCGCATCCAGAAGTTCGAGAAACGCAAACGTCGTATTAAAGACTGCGATCGTGTTCAGGCCAAAGACAGCGGCGAGGTCGGAGTCCCGAAGCGTGTTGAAGTAGTATTCACGCACCTCCTGAATCGACGATTTGGGTGTCGGTTTTGGAATTGGAACCGCTGCACCTCTACCAGCATTGTTCACAAGGAGATTAATATATCCCCGCTCCTCGGCGATTTGGTCGACGGTGGTCTGGAGTTCAGTTTTTGACGTCACATCACAAACGAGGGCGTGCACATTGTGGTGAACCTAGGGGTGGGATCAGCCAAGGTTAGTAAAGCAGGACAGAGAAAGTTACCGCTTCTTGTGCAACTTTTTCAATGCCATAGTTTTCTATATCAACAGCATATACTGCAGAAGCTCCATTTGTAGCCAGCGCCCTAACGATCATTGACCCGATTCCTGACCCTGCACCTGTCACCACTGCTACTAACCCATCAACGGGGAATAAATTCTCAGTTGAAAGATTGAAGGACATTTTGAAGACATGCACCTGAATTCTGTTGTGGTAGGGGAGTGTTGCCGTGCAGATATATGTTTCGGAGTCGCCAAAGGATTCAGGCATTACAGTGGTTTAAGCTGCTAACTTTGGTTTGGGTATACACCCAAACCCGTTGCTATATTTAAAATATCTGAATTTTTCTGAGTTTTTGGGCTCCGCACTCTGTAACTGTGTCCTCTTGGGCTTAGCGCCGATGCGCTGGCCGTATCGGAAAGATAAGGAAAAGTATTAGGTAGTACGGAGGCTAACGGAATCTGACTTCTGAGGCTGCAGGTGGTGAAAAAGATGCATATTAAGTGCCCTATGAAGGAGGAGCTTAGCAGTCAATTGGCTAAATATGGCTACTTATAAACATCGTTCAAAAGATGGGGTCAGACAACACGGCAGCGGATGCAAGCTGTCCCGCACAAAATACGACTTGGATACGTAGGGAAGTTTGGAGACGGAAAGCATCACAATGCTTCTACTTTGCCATCTATTAGAACATGTTATCCTGATTATTTCCTCAGCCTCTTGTTAACAAAGTGGCATGTGGAGCCCTTGGTTTACTCTTTTTCATGTTTGGCGCTGTCTAAGGAGGCTTTGGTGGAAACAACAACCAGGGCACGGATTGCCGTCCTGGAAAACCTAGCAATGACCATTTGCAAAAATTTGCGTTAGTTGGAAGTTAAGAAAAAAACCCAATAGATAGACTGAATGATGAACATAGGGTTTTTTTTATTCCGGTAACTTTTAAATTATAATACCTGTTTGATATTTTTACTTTGTGCAGATTTTTGATAACGGCCAAGAGCAGTGCAAGCATTTTTGCATACGCTCTGTGGAGCAATCGGCTACTTGGAGCGGTTTTATGCTCAGCCTGAAATCCTTCAACACTTTCACCCCTCTGTCGGCATCTCGTGTTCCGCTGGCTATCTGGCAATGAACGGCTACATCGGCTTGTGAAATGCAATGCGCATAAGCGAATCGGTATCTATCGGACGAATACGGAGCACGGCAAACCTTGTCGGGGTTTGAAGTATTGGAATAGGAAAATCGCTCAAGTAACTCCTGGAAAATAATATTTACCATATGCACTGCCAGATAGTTGTACGTAACCGCATATATACCCAGATTAGAAGCATACAGGTATATGTCGGATTGACAGATACTGGTATGTGCTAGTATTGAGGTGTCCCATTGAGATTCATTGGTAGTTGTATCTATCTGGATCTGTTGAAGCGTTATCAGATCTCAGGAGTCGTTCCTAGCGTGTTACGACGCTGGTATGCCGAGCGTACCCCGTTTACCATACAGAGACAAAGAGAGAATGCCAGAATGGGTACTTGAGGAGTAACCCTGTCCTTAGTGGTAAAATACCACCCCCTCAGTTCGACACAAGAGTCGTTTCTGCCTATGTACTGTAATGTCGATGACCCCCAATGTTACCGTTCTGCCAGTTTTACAGAACGGTGAACCCAATTGGTTAGACTCCGAGAATATTGTCTTGTAATCAAGTCGTCAGTTAAACATGTACAAGGGGCAAATCTCCCGCTCGAATGCTTTTAGCTTCCCACTGCATTTCACTGTTCCTTGATAATGAGTGCCAGCTTCGGTGTCCCGTCCTATTTGAAACACCCCGAACAGGTGGACGAGTTGGCACTGTTTCATGACAACTGGGCTGTGCCTAGTATCGCACTTCCTTCTTTCGAGGCGGCTATCCCTGGAGGTTCATTCACACCCCCAGGAGATAGAGCAAATGCCAAAGTTCCCATCCCGCGAAATGCTCAACGCACCAATTGGATTAACAGAGGTCAAGTGAGTCGAGCTTGTGAAAATTGTCGCGATCAAAAGGCCAAATGCAGCGGACAACGCCCAGTTTGCCATCGGTGTCAAGATGCCGGCGTTGTGTGTTCTTATGGCGACCGGAAGAAGGAAAATATGGCCAAGTGGGTGACACATTGACCAAGTTAGGACGCTTCTAATAGAATTAGGCAGTTGAATGATCTGACTTCGCAGGTTGACACGCTTGAATCCCTGCTGCGTGATATCTATCCCAGGCTCGATGTTCTATCATCCCAGCTAGTGGATCAGACACTGAAGGAAATACGCTCTCGAACTCCGCTCCCCCAGTCCAATCCTGCTGTTCCTAACTTGCCCACCCTCCTACCAAGCCATACTTGGCAGGTGAACCCTTCGTTGTCCTTCACAGATGCTAGCCTGCGCTCTCCGTTTGGTACTGCGGAGTACACAGACGAGGACTATAATCGGGATGATAAGGTACAGGCCATGGGTTTCGTTGGCGAACACTCGGAGATGGCATGGTTGTACAGACTTAAACGCGACCTCGATCAAGATAGCTTTCCACCAATCGAGGAGACCCCTGGACGCCCTGCGATTTCCTCCGTGAATTACTTCCAAGATGATTCAGACCTCTTATTGCCCGACGCCATCGACCTCACACACTGGCCCCCGCAACACCTTGCTGACAACCTCGTTGACGCTTACTTTTACGCCGTGCATCCTGCATTCCCGATATTCGGCAAGGTCACGTTCCTGCACCAATACCGGTCCTTTTACTCAAATCCGAATTTGCGACCTGGCAAGAGATGGCTGGCATTGCTAAACTTGGTCTTTGCTATTGCGACGAGATATGCAGTCCTGACCGATCAGCTCCAGCCGGACCAGGATGATCATCAGACATTCTTTGCACGGGCCTGGAGTCTGAGTATAGGCAAAGTCGCATTGCTGGACCATCCGGACCTGCAACAGGTGCAGGTTGAGGGATTGGCCGCGTTCTATCTTCTGTCTATTGGGCAAGTCAATAGGTCGGTATTTGTATCTGTGTATATGCGGAAGCTTTCTGATATGTGATATCATCTTCTAGATCTTGGAGAATTATTGGGATCGCGATTCGATCGGCGGTGACAATGGGTCTGAATCTTCGGAGCGAGAGCGAGAGTGTCCCGCAATTCTCGAAAGAAATTCGCTACCGTTTATGGTGGGCGCTTTTCATGCTAGATACAGTTCTTTGCGAGATGACCGGTCGTCCTCTAAGCATGAGAGAAATATTCTACACGACACCCCTTCCAGCACCATTCCAAGAAGAGGATTTTCGGGATGATCGGGTCGTGCAGCTTATCACCAGACAAGAGATTCGAGGTGCATTCGTTACTTCCTTGCTTCCTAATAGCACCTTGACTCCTCTGCAGGATGGTGTGAGTCGCAAGCATCCGCCCCAACTGGGATTCAGTCAAAGAAAGCGGGAGATCCGAACCCCTCAAGCACTGGTTGAGAGTCAAACACCTAGTCTAACACCAAACACGTCTCTCTACTTTTTATACGCGGTGGATCTAGCCCATCTCCTACGAGAGACGATAAACATCCTATATGCCCCTAGAGCGACGCGATTATCGCGTCGCGAGATTGAAACAGCAATTTCTACCTTCAATGACCGCGCTGACGACTGGCTTTCTCATCTACCAGCCGAATTCAATTTTGCAACGCCAAACACCAATGTAGCACAGCCATTCACACAGCAAAGTGCCAGTCTCGCGTTCAGATTCTACGCCACTAAATTGATCATCACGCAACCCTCTCTCCGTCTCTGCCAGTCTTCGACGGAACCAAGATCTCCAGGGGCAACATGCGACGATATGGCGACGATATGCGTCCAGACCGCGTGTCAAATGCTAGACTTACTACCTGAGTCAGCAGATACTTATTGGCTGTATAGCATTGCTCCATGGTGGTGTGTCCTCCACAATATTATGCAGTCGACGACTATTCTCCTTGTCGAGCTCTTTACTCGCACTCATCTGGGTACAGCCAAGGCCACAAGCCTTATCCAACGAGTGCAGAAAGCGACTCGATGGCTGAATGAGATGTCTGCTAAAGATCCTTCCTCGCAGCGTGCCTGGTCGGTTTGTACTGATATTCTCTCGCGGCATGGTTTGAAGTTTTGGCCTTGATGCTGAATGTCTTGCGCCCGCTTCTGCTTATGGACGGTCATGGTAACTTTACGTCTGGGATTTTGTTTCTGATTATGCCATATCTCGCGAAATATCGGTATGGTGCCGTGGTGCATTTCTAATTTTTATTATTATTATAGTACAATATATAACGTGTTTGCCAAGCGAGCCGCCACCCCAAGCGAGCCGCCACCCCACCGCTATCTAATTATTTTAAATGCATTTATCTTAACCAAAACGCCATTAAATTCGATAAGCTAAACTCGAGGTCTATTAGGACATGTAGTCATTCTATGACCCTGAATTCCACATACACTACACTTCGTTTTTGCCCTCGTACGCGGCTGAGAAGGTGCCGGAGCTGGCCCTGCCTCATAGGATCCTTGTGCTAAAACTGCTTGCTCTGGCTGCGCCATTAAGGTAGAGGCCTCTAAAACTGAGAGACCTTCTTCGGAAGCTATTTGCCTTTTAGACCGAGTCTTTTTTCGCTTCTTCTTCTCGTTTTCAGCGCGTAAATCGCTTACTTCTTTCTCGAGAATAGCTGCCGATTGCATAGTAATTTGACACGCCTTTAAAACCTGGTTGATTGCGGAATTAAGCGGGCTTGGTGGGATTTTTGAGCGCTGTTTTAGCAAAGCTTTAATTGAGGAAGCTTGCTTTTGTAATTGGACGTAATTCGAAGGCGTTTTTGGCTCCTACTCGCTTCCTCGGCTCGAGGGGGTGTCGGGGTTCGAAGGCAAATATCGAGCTTTGAGATCACTCGATCGGGGTTATAAATATCGTCGGGGTCGATACCATATTGAAGTATAGTCTTTTGGACGAGAGAAAACCAATCTGTAATAGTCTTCGGGTCTTCGCATTGCGCACGCTCGAAATTGTACCGTTTTGAGAATCGGGAGGAAAGGAGAGGATGCCTTTTAACGAATTTTGTAACCCAATTCTCGCCGACCGAAAGAACGGGGGTAGATCCACGCGCCGCGAGTAATAGATCCGCCATTTCTCGTACGGTAGAAGGTCTAGGGGCTG